GTTACGTTAACGTAACTAACTAACTAACTAAGTAGTAGTACATATATAGTATATATATATATATATATATATATATATATATATATATATATATATATACGTTTACTCGATCGAAACAATTATGTAAATATTTAAGTAGCCATGTATGTATGCATAGCTAAAAAATAGAAATAGTGCTTTTTTTATGCACTTGCACTTGTATATTATGTATGTATATTCATCCGTATTAATATATGTATCATATTGATATTCATATACATAATATTCAAGTCTGTATCCACTTATATAATGGGAAATGAGATCCATATACCTACAACGCGCGCACTCGCTTATGATCATACATTTCCACAATTATATATTTATATTGATGTATATATAGTTAATACATTTATGTGCATGTGTAGATACATATACATTCATACACACAAATATATTCACACACACACATATATATATATATAGCTGTAGATACTTATATACACAACACATATTTCTATACATTTATATCTCTATATGTATATATAGTTATACGTTTACATATGTATGTCTATTTGACGTACACACACACATATATATATATATATATGTATGTATATATATACTACTCTGTTATTGCATTATTTTGATTAACATAAACTTGTGCGTTTATCATTATAGTACGTCTATATTATATACATTATTTATTCTTATATATATATAATATATGTATAGGAATCTTTCTATTCTGAGGTTGTACATATTATTTGATTGTATATTATAGTTAAGCGCAGTATCAGTTTTATTATATTTCGCGCCCTATATAACTATGCATACCAAGTGAAGTCTATGTGTTGCTCATTTAATTGGATACGTATTATAACATAATTTTTGTGAGGGCGTACATGTTTAAAGTGTACGTGTACGCATTTCACATATTTAATTGAGTATATCATTCTGCTGCATATTTTTTGGGATACCAGGCATACCTGCATTGCTCTACACATAGATGCTGCTATCCGTATATCGTGCACCTAGATGTCAGTGGTGTTATAGATTTCACATCTTCAAGTTTACTCAAATGTATGTAGGCGTTACGGTCTGATAGAGTTTAAATGCACTGGAACATTCAATTAGTATTATATATGCATACATGGCAAGGATGTGCGTTCTTCATCAACTAAAACAACGCTCTATAATTGACCACGTATGCTGTTATTTGCTAGTGGAATCTCTGACGATTTGGAAATAAGCTAATATATACATGCGCATATATTAGTAAACGTGAGCAGTATAAATGCTCGTTTTTATCTTCATTTGTATATACGTTCTTATGGAATCAAGCATGATTGTGTTTATGTATAGGTAAATGAGGTTTATATCTTCATTTGTATATCAGGAATCAAGAATGGTTGTTTATGTATGTGTACATGCAATTGCATGTATTTCAGCTACATCTTTATTCTCTATTTACCAAGATTGGGTGAATCTTAGATACACAACCGTTGTCAAACCGTTGTCAATTGCTTTGGGGTGGTACTGCTATTCTGTTGACTCAACACATTGCAATCGTCGATACTTTTACAGTTTTAGACATGTTCTCCGCCATCAGACTCGCGGGCCGCCGCACGGTTGGCCAAGTGCGTATGTATGCATCTGACGCTCCCGCCGCCGCTGGAACCGTCAAATTGACCTTCGGATCACCATCAGAAGTGAGTATACAGCTGTAGGATTCCAACCGGGTTGTTAATGTCTCAGTAATTGACCCACCTCTACATATGTTTGTAATACTATGAATTTGTATAGTTCATCCAACGTTTTAGTGGGCATATGGCCGTGTCAAACGTATGTTCAGAGAGGTCTTTCTAGATATTTACGTCTCGCAATCTTGCAGCAATTGGTATGTGCGATTTCAGAGAATACTTGGGTACACCTGATTATCTATATTTTTCTTGGATGGATCCGCAATGCCCCCAAGGAAATGTATGACAATATTCTCCTACCTTTAAAGCGTTTCAGCGCAACCCCAATATGTCAGTGTTTGCTTTTTGTAGCCCACGGGCATATTGGTATACTGTATATCACGTATGCTGTATCTGAATTATATATTGTTTAAATTTCTTGCCTTGTTTCAAAGGTCCAGCTTTTCCTTGGTGAGTAGTGCTGAGGGAAGAGCTCTAAAGTTCTATTACTGCTCTATGATCTATTTTTTTAGTAAACTTGCGCACATTATCACAGGGATTCTACCATGATGTAGTTGTAGACCAGGTGAACGTACCCAGTCAGGAGGGAGATATGGGTATCCTAGGCAATCACGTACCCACACTAGCCGTCCTCAGACCTGGAGTTGTGTCTGTGTACGAACAAGGGCAGGCGACTCCTAAGCAGTTCTTTGTTAGCAGTGGAACCATAACCATCAACGAGGGTTCCGGTGTACAGGTAGGGTTCAGTTTATAAGTTTATGTTTTATTTTGGTGAATGATTGTGACGCATCGGTCTTGCGAGTCCCGTAATCTGAGAAATGAATTCGCTAATGCAAGGTTGGGATGCTGAGCTTAATAGGTCCATGTCTTATGATTTTTACTACTCTCTTTCGATGTTGTGTAGAATGAGTCCGTACATAGCTTTTAATTTGCTGGACAAGTTGGATATGAGGCTGCACGAGCTTCCCTCTGCAGTGGTAGAAATGCTATGTCGTGGTTTCGATTGTCGCACGTGTATGCAGGTTATACGTATATACCTAGCTTCTGATTGAAGGCTTGCTATCATCAACGTTCTCTAGGTCATAGCGATATTGCTACCTATGTATATCTACAGACTTGCGTTATAATTTTACTCTAAAGACACGCAGTGTGACGCTCGTACTTCACGAGTGTATGTCGATCGCTCGTCTGGAAAGAATAGCGGTTTCATGATTTTTCTTCGTTGGTGGCTGTCGTTATTTTTGGAACGCATCATTTACCTTTCGCTGTATTTCATGATTTCTATTGCACAGGTTATCGCTGAGGAGGCTGTCAAGCTTGATGCGCTCGACCTGTCTAAAGCTCAGCAGGGACTAGCAGAGGCTCAGAAGGAGGTACTAAGTGCCAAGTCCGATGTGGAGAAGGTATGTGAATACGCGTCTGTATATGGGGCACAATAGCATATACCCGTGCGTTTTGACGCCTGTCGCTTCGTGCGCATTTTCTGTGTGTCATAAGTTCGATAATTACATGCAAGTTGTATACTGTTTTCTTGGGTGAATTGTTTGGTATAAATTCATGGTGAATCTAATCATCTCATGATTGCTTGTGTCTTGTGTGTACCGTACGCACTACCGGATTGTCGTTCGAAAGTTACGGAAGTACTGTGCTGACTTATCGAACGCTTAGAATTTATCTGTAAATTGAAAAATTGATCTAGTGGGACGCGGCGCTTGGCATCAATCTGTAGTGCTAATAGATTGTGGCAATGAGTGTTGCTTCGCATTAAATAGTATCTGCTGTATCGTCCACTTTCTATGTCAGTCTAAATTTCAATTCCCTTGTCTTCAAACGCCGTCCTTACAGGCCGAGGCTGATATTGCGTACGACACCTACCGTTCTATGGTTGCTGCCCTTCAGTAGTCTTCTGCTTCTTTGCGTATGCCTGGGTCGATTGGCTCCTGTCTGTCAGTCAGACTTTTAGAAAGTGCATAAAGTCATAAACCCAAAGTGATATATCATCAAATATCTTGTTTGGGTTTAACTTACTTCGCGGAATCGATAACAATGTAATTACGACACTTTCTGACTTTCCCTCGGCTTATGGGAACTTTAGAGACACCATGTTTTGCTTATACCTACGTGAGCCTTTCAAAAAGATGTATTGCCAGGTTGACTAGATTGGCGTCAAAGTCTTGTTAGTATCGTTGATGGGCTGCACTATAAGTCTCAACATCAGTGTATTCCGTGCGCATACTTATGAATAGCATAGTAGTTGCACAGCCATTGATGTCGTTCAGCCTTTTTAACAAAACTCTTATTCCTCTATGCTCGACAGTCACATGTCCGACGACTACTACAGTCTGACCAGAACCTATGATGCAGATGGCAATTTTAGCCAGGTTTCTCTAGTTGGTCGCTGGAAAGGCTTATTTCAGACATATAAGCGTATACGTTTTGACATAACATTGCAGACTGTCGAATATTGGCCATGGACCCTGTGTATACTTATGTCTTTGACGCCCTAATATTTTCTCATCTACTTACATGCACAATTTATCAACTGTATTTGATAGTAAAAGCTTTTTTTGTATAAACAACGAAAAAATCGCATGGTATATGGCACGCGTATCCGATATGGAGTCGAGTTCCCAGTAATCATGCAGTGAGTACCTTTCGCTGATTTACGAAGTGGGTGTACTCTGCTTCACAGACAAATTTCATGATGTGCACACCTTCGTGAATGTACAATATCGTTGGACACACATAGTGGATCATAATTTGCCGAGGTTGGGGGGAGGGAAGGGGGGACCGGGGTGAGAGACAAGGTTGGGGCCGTCATTATACATCGTCTGGTGTTTTGATGAAATGTATTCAAGTTTGGTTGGGTATCTCAAGACCAGTAAGTTGTAGAGACGGGGAGAACGAACCCGGGGGGAGAGAAATGGTCGGGGCCGTCGTCGTCCATCGTGTTGAGTTATGATGAAACATTTTCAAGATTTTTCGAGTGCCTCGAGACCCCACTTGTGAGTGAAGAATCTCATAATAACGAAATTGCCAAACTATCCCAAACCATCACCCTTTTTTTTATGGACTGTCAAATAAATAGAATCCGTAGCCTTGGGGAATATATCGAATCACATGTTGGGGGGTAGAAGTAGGATCCATATTAAGAGTGGCGTGCGCTTTTGCTCCTCGTCGAAGCGATGATTAAATATCAACATGTATAAACCGCCGATTCCCTGCTATTTGCAATTGACAGACGCACATATTCTTGAGCATATTCACTAATTGGAAGGTCATCTGATCCTTGTGCCAAATAACCTGGACTACATAAATTAATATAACAATAATAACTCAATAATTTACTTTTGATGCCGATTTCGAATGGCTGTCATTTATACCACATGAGGAAGTTAGCAGAAGGACAGCGTGCCAGGCGATGAACACTTCAAAGATATCAAAATCGGAGAGAAAACTTTTCAGTGTGGCTAAAGCCTCGCACACGTACTATTGTCTCCATTTACATATATTTGACATCCAACCGTGAAGTGTCAATCCAAAATATGAATACGACCAAACCTCTCCAGAGATTAGCTCGGAATTGGGTCGCACTCGCTTCGCAACCCAGCAAATCTCAACACCGATTGTAACGGTACACAACTTATGGACACTTGAACTCTGGTTTGGAATGACAGTTTATTATAATTAATTGAAACGTACAAGTATAATAAAGTAAATGGAAGAAAGAATATGACCATGTTTTTTGCTGCCCAAGGAGATAGATACCAAGTGAAAAATCAGTGACTCTAATAGTTAGGGGACAACTAACGGACAGTTCGGTACAAGTCACAAGCTCGAATACCGATACTTCAATTCAAGACTGGTACTATCTACAAGCAAGCGGTATTTAAACGAATAGTGTTATATTTGATATAAACTGTTTGATAGCAGCTCGTGTGGGAGTGCAAGTATGAGGAATTCTAGAGTGTGAGTGACACTTCTTCATTCTTCCGAAACAGATAGTCAGTCAAATGTGTCATTGTTGAGCGATTGCAATCTGATAAATAAATCTGGACTAACAGCAAAATGGACAATTTTATAAGGTTGCCTGTTCAAGCATAGCGTTCTAAAAAGTTATGATAATTAGTACGCGTGCCCACGATGATCCAACACACTATATCTCAGCGAGGAAATATTTTGGAAATATCCTGGCAATTTCGAGGGTAACTATGTGCTTCGGTCAGAATTGCATAACGAACTGAGCCCTACACATGAATGTGAGTTTGGTTTGAGGTCTGGTGGATCTCTCCTGACTTCACTTCAGCGGCATATGTTTTGGGACAATCTGCTGTTGGTTGCGAAGCCGTTGATTTCTTGTTGATGACGGCTCCTCGATAGGAGGCACGATTTGGAACCTTCGATAGGCAGGAAATGGTTATGTGGTATGCTAGGCTCTCCGTTTTTGGTTCTGAGGTTGATTTTGGGAATCGCAGATGGTGTGTGGTCTTTATGCTATAATTTGATAACACGTTGCTCCTTAGTATGCCTTCTGTGCGCTTTCTTGATCTAATTCTGGCGAGCTTGACGGAAATACAGTACCTGATGAACCTATAAAAGCTGACCACTATAAAATATATGCTTGACTCGCCAGGCTAAATAACGATACATTGTGTAATTACTACCTTGCTATTGTGAAAAGAAGAAAAGGGGAGGGAGGAGGGGGGGGGGAAAAGATGTGTTGTTGTTTTTTTTGCATTTAGCCACAAGTTCGACGAGTAATATCATTGTGATTGTTCGATTGGGATCGGCCATCGATGTATGGATGTTTGGTAAGATTGCCGTTGTGGTATATGTATAGGGAAGGTTGCTATGGCGAGCTGGTCCTGCTCTGCTAGAATAACTGGTGGAGATATTGTCGTCTGAGAGTTACCTAAATTGTTATACCCACGTTATGCCAGTTTATGAACACATACTTATAGTTGAAGTGAGCATCACGTGAATGTCATTCATATATATACTGTTGTTATGGGTTCTGTACTAGTTTTAGAATTCCGATTGGTGGCCGTAGAAAAATAACATTTTGTATGAAACCCAATCGACCAGCCTCTCATGTTATAATATCCTGATTGAAGAATACCACTTGACAGCCACATACGTGCAGGTGCCATGGCATGCTGTTAGTCTTTTACCCCAAAACTCCCCCAGGATGTTCATTTTGCCTTGGTACGTTGTATGACCTTGATTGTGACTAATTATTGAATCGGTTCGGCTCGGCATGTTGCAATCGGCAAGTCAGTAAATCCGTTTCACGCATATTGTGCGGCGGAAGCTATGCACACATACATATTTTTTATGTGCCGTTGTTTATTAATGCGATTAAATTTCTGCGATCATACTAGAGCTACTGCAAACTTTGCCAGGTATTCCTTCTATATACATGTGTAGGGTATCTCTAAACCTATGTCGATGCTCTTCTATATCAGTGGATAAACAAACGGAATGCCAGGATTGGCATCGACGAATTTGATGTCTGCTACGAATCTTTAGATGGAAGTGAAAACTGTGTGTAATTTGACACACTGCATATTAATGATTTTTTGTGTGTTGTAATCAGGCGTCATTGCATTCTACCTTTGCATATTGAGTACAAAATGTAGCTGCTATACACTGTACTGACACATCGGTTGAGCAAGTCTTTTATCGATAGGACTGCACATTGCGTGTTGCTGACTCGCACGAACCAGGTAAAATGTCGCCGCATAGAAAAGTTCTTCAAGGTGTATGTTAGACATAATTAATGAAGCTGTCGTGCCTGTAAGTATACTGAAACAGAATTAAAGGAGCGTCATCGATACCAAACTGTCCTTGTCCTCAATTTTTTCTAATTTTGGGCATGGAATATAGCACCTGTTGGCGATAGGATCGTGTGTATGCCTTGTGAAGAGGCGCATCGCATAATTTGAAAAGTTGTAGCATTCGATTACCTCATCGCTACGCTCGGCGGCAAAAAGAAATTGCTTTCCGCAATAGATTGTTGAAATATTGATTTTTTTGTTGATACGGTAGCTTTCTTTGTATGACGTGATGTACCCCGCACGCTGTGTTCCTGCTCTATATATCCACTACTCATGGTCTGTTTACTATTCACATGTGAGTTGCCGTATCAGTCGAACCACGACATGCACACAGTGTACATATCCTTAACAGACAGAAATGTGGAGGCCCGTAAATATTGTATATGCCAGCGACAAGTTGGAGTTCGGGAGGATGACTACAATAAGTTCAAAATTTCAAGTGTCCTGATTACGTGTGGCCGCATAATGTGAGAAGCTCTTGACAGCAATCACGGCCAAAGATGTATTACAATATCTTAATATATCTGAATTTAATGGCGTACAGTAATTATATCAACAAGACAATAACCCGACATACGGATGATCAAATGTTCTAGCATTCATGAAGAAAGCAATCGGGAGCTGGAATACATTAGCGCAACCAGAGTGCGTTGGGATAAATTATGATAGAATATTGAGGGGATTCACTAAACACTACCCCGTGGGTATGTAGATTCCAATAATCACTACCCCGACAAATACGGCAGTACGTTTTCATGACGATCACATAGTAGATATATCCTCAAACCCTGCCATATTTTTAGGGGTAGTGATTAGTGAAATCACATCATTTTAGGGTAGTAAATAGTGAATTTTGAGGGGTGTGTTGAACAAGCTTGTGATAGAGTTCATATACAAGTTTTTTTTACATGCGAATCAATTTCCTTCTTTATTCTGTAGTCCTAACGTACATTGTAGATACTTTCCGGCAAAGGGTACGCACTGATGAGAGCGACCACTTTGTGATTTGCCAAGTATTTTCGGAGTTCTGACGATGTACCTTGGCAGTGTGATACTTCGCAGAACATATTTTGCATATTCGTGGATTTCCTTTGCGCTTTTATTCACGTCGATTCCTGTCACGTCGACCCTTTTTACGTCCTCGATGACCAGGATTGTTTGGAGGATATACTTGACATAATCTCGATATCGAGTTCATTTGTAATTTGAAGAGTCTCCGAATACTGCTGCACGTATGTCTTGACATGAAATACAGGGCTGCACCTGAATATTTGTAACAATGGTGGA